ATAGGACCCGCCATTGAAGGCGAGATGCTGTAGCCACCCGCGCCTATGCACTCTTTTCACTGCGAGGTCGAGCTGTCTGGAGCCTAGAAACGCAGAGTATTCACGACGCAACACCGTCTCCCCCAGCTATAGGATAGGATCAACGACGGGGGACGGTGTGGTTGAAGACTGCTTTTTCGCTTTTCGCAGCGCGAAACGTGTCCCGTCGCGAGAACTCGAGTGGTGGGCACCAGAGTCAACCCTGCGTTGCGCAGTTCGCAACGGCACGTTGAGAGATCCTCAACGCACGCTGTATGGGCGGAGACACAGACGGCTCGAGCATGCGAGTGTGAATGTTCGCGCGAGAGAACGTGTCTAATCGGGCGAAACTGCGCAACGTGGCCGTTGAGAACTGCGCAACGCAGGGTTGACTCTGGGCCACCGGTGGCCGAGGTTCGACAGCAATAAGTGTTTCCCGCTGCGAAGCGAAAGAGTCGCTTTCTATCCTAGTAAACCACACCCGCGCGGGGATGCGCTCCTCAGGGGAAGGATAGGAAACGGCCCTGGCCGCCGGATACAAAGTCTGCATGGTCCGGGGCAATTAAAGCAACAGTCCAAGCAGGTTTCAGCCGCTCGATCCTAAGGGGTGGAAACATGCACTAGCCCTAGTCAAGTACACAGGAAATGTCACTGTTTGAAAACTTACCTTTGAAAGGCAGTTGGAAGGGGGTCTAACGCCTTCGAAGTGGCGATCACGAGCCGTTGGTACAGCGCCTCGCCCACTTCTGGTCGTGAAGAGTGCGTGATTGGCTGCGCAGACATTTGCGGTCGTTTCGGGACCACCGGGACTATTTGAGGTCGATCCTTGAAGCAATCGATGTGGTGATGCCGACTACGCTGGATTTCTACGTTTTTCCTTCTACCTTCTACCTTCAAAACATAAAACGATTTCATTATTGCGCCCCAATTGCAATTGGGCGCATTTACTGCGGGCATGTTCAGACAACTCGTCCAACAAGCGTCTTCCTCCATTGCTAAGTGGCAGAGGGGGAGTCCCTGTCTAAGTCCCTGTTCGACGTCTTTTTTTTTTTACTTTTTCTTTCATTATTGGTCAACTTTTCACCTACAACTTCATTATCGGTGGTTTTTGCCCGCGAATTCGTTCTTGGATTGTTGCTTTAAGCGATGCTGTTAGAGCCTAGACAGGAAGCACATGCTTTGGGCTTTTAAGGTTTTCTAAGGTTCAATCCTTGTACCGAGTGTGCCCAAATACTAAGCTACAGAGCGCTGAATCACCAAGTCCCCGGTTGACAGCTGTCCCTGGACCAGGCCACATTCATTTGAAATACGGTATCGCCGTAAAAACTGCAAAGTTTACGCGAAAAACGCGAATTCCGCGTTTTTTTTTCGTATTTCTGTTATAACTCGATACAAAATCAAGCTATTCAAAATCCGAAAACGACATTGAGTTCAGCTCGATGAGCAAAAAGTAGTTGTATTAACATGAAAGAATCCCTACTCAAAAGGTATTGATCCTGCAGGGTCTTGAGATATGGCAATATTGTTGGTTCTCTGAGCTTCATAAATCAAATCGGATCAGTGTAATCGAAAGCTCGTGTTTCAGAAAGTTTTACTGATGACGTTTTGGGTCTAAGCCAGTTCAGATCAACTGAAATACAGTAGCACAATTACAACACATGAAAACATTGTCAATAACGAGTGCATTCTACCAATAAAAAGTAGTTGCTCGCATGTGATGTGTATATAATCCCGCTTATGCGGGCTGACCGCTACACAAAGAAGGGCCTCAAAACTTACCCCAGAATGCGCCACGTACTCAATCTCATCCACTACATTGTGAGATTAGATGAATGTTATTTTCCGAATTCTTAGATCTTCATTTCGTTTTAAGCGCTTACTGGCTTTACGTGTTCCCTCTGCTCTCAATATCCCATCCTCTGTATATCAAGTGGAATCTTTGAACAGTTCTCAGCAGGCATAGTGGGCCTATTATGTGACATTTTCCATTTTCAGAGGAGATGTTTTGCAGAAAGCTGTGAAGATAGCGAACGAATTTCCTTCACTGTCGTAGACTACGGTCACTTGTCTGTAGGAATTATATGGAAACGGTCGCAGGTGAGCCTTCCGTGGTGTGACCCCAAACATCACACCTCGTCATGCCCTTGTGAAATGATCAGATTTTTTGTTTTCCAGATGAACATAGAAGACTGAGATGTGCACCATTCAATTCCCCATGAAAAATACTGTCGAACGGTATACAACACTGTCCACAAACTGCCTCAGTGAAAAAATAGACTTTTGTTCGTGAACAGTGTTGTACACCGTTCGACAGTATTTTTTATGGGGAAGTGACTGGTGCACATCTTAGTGTTCCAAATCAATTTTGAAAAGCAAAAATTTGGGCATGACGAGGGGTGATGTTTGGGGTCACACCACGGAAGAAGCGCTCACCTGCGACCAAGTTTCCATATAATTCCTACAGACAAGTGACCGTAGTCTACGACAGTGAAGGAAATTCTTCGCTCTCTTCACAGCTTTCTGCAAAACTGGTCAAAGTCAGTTTAAATAGAGAGAATGAGATTAAAAAGGACATAAAGACTGAGGAATTCGGAAAATAACAATAATCTCACAATGTAGTGGAGATTGAGTACGTGGCGCATTCTGGGGTAAGTTTTGAGGCCCTTCTTTGTGTGTAGCGGTCAGCCCGCATAAGCGGGATTATATACACATCACATGCGAGCAACTACTTTTTGAGATGAAATCGAGTGCATGGCGTCCTACTTGGAGCAGCTCCTTATAGAACTCAACGAGCTGAACTATGTCATTTTCGGATTTTGAAAAGCTTGAATTTTTAATGAGTTATAACAGAAACACGAAAAAACGCGAAAGCGTTTTAGCGTGAAGTTTGCAATTTCACTACGAGTACCGTGCCGCCCATCGTGAGTTGGCTTTCATCGCTCTTGGCGTTAAGCCCCGTGGGGACCTCCACTTGAGGTTTGC